AAAGTCGTATCTTATAATATCTGATTTATTTTTGCAATTTCCAAAACAAGAGATTATCTCATTCCAGAAATTCACTGCTAAGTAAGTGTAAAAGTAACCAAAATACTCTACTGAATTTTTAGTCTGTACTAGCCCCTGAAAACACTTCCCTGTTACTAATAACATATTCTGTAAATTTTATCTGGTACAGGACTACATTACCACCACAGTTTTAAGTCTCTGAAACCTAGCATCAGATGCCTACTTTCTTTTTAAATGAGAAGCACTGAATTTAGGGATTAGGCACTTGCTGATTCTCCTTTTGCTACCATATAAAAGCTTCATGAGCCAGGAGATATATGTGGTAACCATGTTGGTCTGAGACAAAAATAAATGCAAAAATCTACAACTCTTGGTTTCAATATGATAACTTTTATTAGACCAACTGAGAAATTACCAAAAAAAAAAAAAAAGAAAAGAAAAATTGCAGCAATTTTTTTTTTTTTTTTTTGCAATTTCTCAGTTGGTCTAATAAAAGGTATAATTTTAGAACTAAGAGTTCTAGGTTTAAGTATTTCCTGGCTCATGAAGAAATGCACAAGTGAAGGGATCTACTAACAAAACGCAAGGGGTTTCAGACATAATTACTGATATTTAAATGTAGTAATAATCTTTACCTTCCAGCTAGCAGTACAGTGCCAATCCCCATTTTCACTTTTGTCCCAGACCTATTAAGAAAACAAAATACAATCGTAAACCTTGCTGTAAAGCTTTTTTCATCCTGCAAGAAATGAAAGGCAAACAAAGCTCCCAAGATAGTACTGGTAAACACAGACAACTTAAAAAAAAAAACAGCCATACCATGCAGTTCCATTTTTCCCTTAAAACCCTACCCTATCCCAATATGCTTTTACATCCCTCTTTTAAAAGTAGTTCCTTGCAGAGATCAGTTCTGCAGAATCAGTTGCAGGAAGTGTATTGTTTCTTTAAAAAAAAACAAAAAAAAAAAATCAAGAACTTATTTATAAAAAGTAATGTTTTGCTCACTTTGTTGGCTCTCAGAATAGCATGAATGCACCAAAATTAGTAAATTTCACCCCCGCACCTCCCTATGGATCTCACGTCCTATTTAAACTCAAGCCGGAAGTTTATAATAATGAAGATGTGGAATGATGACCACCTCTGTGGCTGCTGAGAAATTAAAAAAGTCACAACTGCGGTCAGGAAGGCCAAGGCAGAGATAGAACTGGGACTAGCTTCCCGGATCAAAGACAAGAAGTCCTTTTTT